GGCCTTCCATTTTTTCTTCCCGCTTTTTTTCTCTCCTTTCATATATTTCTGCAGAATTCTACGTTTTGTTTGAAAGAAAAATATTCCGCGAAACCTTTTCTTCCGACTTTAATTAATTGAATTGCACGGGAGGAAAAAATTAGTTCATATATAATAGCAAGCTTCTTCGTTGTTGATATTACTGATTATTTTCGTTAAATTTACCCACCCACTTAAATATATGGTTTAGAATTTGGGGCATTTTCCCTTATGGTGAAGCTATTTGAATGGTATTAAACTGTAGAGTAATGGCAGTGCGAATAAACTAGCTGAAATTAGTCAATTTTTTCCCACTTTCTTTTGCATCGAAAGCTATCTTACAACCGTAAAGAAAAGCTCCCCCTCACTAAAAAAAAAGTTTTTTATGTAGTTGTGTCCCCCTAAAAAACATTGTACTGTAATCTGTCGAGTAGAGATTTTTCTAGATTACTCAGCGAAATGAGACTAATTTTCTCTAATAATCAAAGTTCGATCGATATTTTATGCATGAGTAAAATGCAAATTTTTCCGATATAATTTTTTTCATAATTTTTAGTGGTTAGATACATTTCCGTACAATTCAAATTTTTTAATATCAAATTTATTTGTAAATGATAAAGCACATTGCAGTTATTTATCTTTTTTCATAATAAAATTCGTCATTTTACTATTAAAAAAGTAAATTCTTTGTAATATTCTGCATGTTCTTTGTAATTAAAGCAGACGCAGGTATATTTGTCATTTGATTATCAAATAAAATACCTACTCTCTTCCAGTACTTGTAATTTAGATGTTTTATAATTAATTTTGAATTATATAAGTGAAAATGTTTAGATTATTTTATAAAAACATCTTTTTTGTAAAACTGAATATTATTTTGAAAAAATTCTTTTAAAAAATGCTGCTGGTTTTAGAATATAAGCAAAAATTAATGTTACCTTACCTTGCTAAATATAGATACTATGACTGCATTTTAAACAATTCAGTGTAAAAGAATATTTGGATTGTTAAGTGTAGCCTATAAAGTCGTGTTAAGCTTAAAGTTTATTATTGGAAAAGAAAAAAAAAAAAAAATTCAATAAATAAATTTATTTAAAATTTATCGTAAAAATAGTTCTAGACTTCATTGTCTTCATCTAACGTAGCTATATATATTTTCTTGTAGATTTTCCTTGCATAATAAGTAACAGTGCAGAATTCAAATAAACACACTTATATTCATGTTATTATAATTCATCTTTCATTTCTCAGATTAAATTGATTCAATTTTATGATTTATGAATGGTAAATTCATCCTTTAAGATTTGGTGTTTATCAGCATTTTTTGTACTGTTTCTCATTTAATTTATAAAATCCATTAAAAATAATTTAAATTTAAGTAAATGTCTTTTTCAAGTTTGGGAAAAGGTGGGAGAATGATCGTTTAGCAGTGATGAAAGTAGTGCTTGGGGCACTGGTAAAATAGATAAATAGTAATTATAAGGCTCCCTGCTCTTGCTAAGATCATAACCGCATGATTTTTTAAATCATTCCCCTTTTCCTTTCCATAAATGTATAAAGCACTTACATTAGCACAAATTTTTCCAAAATGCCTTAATATTTTTTTTTTTAATGCTGCATGTAATTGTTAGACATTAAATCGTGTAGCGTTATGGCAATTAATAAAAGATGTTTCTAACGCCATAATACTATATATAAGTAGTACAAAATCGTTTAGTTATTCCCCCCTTTCATTTGTGTTTCTAGGAGAAGTCTCGGATGAGATATTGTATTGTAAATAAACAAATAAACTTCATATACAATGCCATCAATTACCGAATGGATAACAACCTCTAAATACTGTAATTCAACATTCCCTGTGCACGGGTTTTCTGCGTGGGATTTCCGCGATTTTCTAGTTATACTGTAACATAAATAAAAACCGATCAGCCTCAGAAAGTCTTCACGAAGAAATACGAGAACAAACTGCCTTAACTGTGTTTTTCCATATTTATTTAACCATCATATACGATCTTGTCTAATCCCCTCCCCTTTCTGGATAATTTCGAACTGCTCAAATGGTTTCGATCAATTACGATTGGTTAACTCCTACCCTTTTCAAGAGCAATTTCATTACGTCATCTTTCGTTTCATTCACGCGCAGTCGTATGAATGAGTGACGAAAGTAAAGTAAAAGGGTGGTGGGGTTATCGGTTGAAAAGACTCATGTGGTTTTCCTTCATGGCATAGTTTACAGATAAAATTACCATTCAAGCCATTCAAGTAATCTTCTGAACTAGAGGAAAATAAAATGGTACGTCAGATATTACATAATGCGTTTCTATTTTGCCCATCGAGAGGAGAAAATTGATGAGGCCTGGAACTTTAAAACCCGCCAAAAGAAAGAGGGAGAGACTGAAAGAGAATAATGCCTGCTAACTTTCCCACTGAACTGTCATAAAAGAACAAAGCAAAACTACAGCTGAAGGATTTCAGTCAGCTACAAATGTCTTTGAGAAGTATGACGTTCCCTCTTAGTTTCTATTTGTGGTAACTTTCGCTGCTATGCTTTTCTGAAAATAACAATGTACGATACTCTCAAAAGCGTTTACTGGAACGTAACCTTGAAATAATGCTTTAATTTATGAATGAAAAATCTCTGAAAGGAAACTTCAAACGGTACACGTATATCCCTGCAACATCTGATTTTCAGGGGAGAGGAAATCTTTCTCGTACGTTGTTCATTTTTCTTGCCAAATGTAATAAAACAATATTATTACAATGAAGAATACTTATGTATTTAACGCAGAAGTAGGTATAAATTTACTGCTGTAATCGAAAATTACATTTGACCTTTAAAATATGCGGCTGTCTAAACTCTTCCTGCCTTCCAGTAAATTTACGAGAAATTTTTTTTACACAAATATTTTTTGCAAATAAATTTTAGTTATTACTTTTCTTGAAGTAGCAATATTTGCCGAAGGCGCCTTCTAAATTTTTCCCGTTTCTGTCATCGTCAACTTCCAAGGCATAACACTTCTACGGATTTTATTTTTCAGCGACGAAGTTCTACATGTTTTAACACGTTGACGCCGGCTTGACCCGCCGGTGGGTCATACTTGTCTGTTTCGTGGGGCATGACCCACTGCTTGATTGTTCCGCTGATCGGCATGACTCGCCGATGGGTCACGCTTGTGTATCAGCAAATACGTAGTACGAAATTTTATTTCATTTTATAATTATTCAACAGTATACATTAACATTTCAACATTATAATCACACATTCAATACAAAACAAATAACTTAAAATGTAACTTATAAAATTAAATATAATTACAGTAAGACCCCGCTTAACGCTGTTTCGGTTTAGCGCTCTTTTATTTCAACCCTGGGATTCCACGAAATCGCTCGCAGCATACGGGGATTCCCCGAAATATTATGCAGCGATAGGTTTCAAATACATATCCGAAAGAGTGTACTTGTATTTCTTGTTTGGTGCGGTATTGTACAGACATATTTTGAAGGGGTAAATGTGGAAGTTGTCGAAGAAATAATTCAAGAAGCAGTGGCTAGTCTTTCTAATGATGAGCTCAAGGAATTAACTGAACAAGAAGAAAACAAAAATGTTGACAGCAGTGATTCAGAAGAAGAGCAAAAAGAACTTTCGATGGCGTTTGTAAAAAGGAGTTTGTCTACCATAACTGAAATAATGGATCAATTCATTGAAAATGATCCGAATTTTGACAGGGAGCTCAAAAGTAAGGCGTGGTGTTAGAGATGCTCTATCCGTTTATGAAGAACTTTTAAGAGAACAAACGCAAAAGAAAAAAGGCAAACAACATTAGATGCTTTTGTCACAAAAAGGCAGAAACACTGAAAAGGCAGAAGGCTAACTAAATATGACTGACTTAGAATTTTAATTGTTTTTTTAAGAATATTCGTTTTTTATTTATATTTTGTTTTTATTTTTGCAAGAAATAATAATGTGGTATTAATTTGGGCTTTAAGAAATAAAGTTTGGTTTTATTTTATTAAAAAAAACGTACTTTTTAAATTTAATACCTAACCAATTTCCTAGCCATCTTCCCCTAACCCCAATATTTACATGTAAAGATAGCCTCGTTTAGCGCTGTTTCGCATTACGCTCTACTTTGATGGAACGTATCCCCCGCGTTAAGCGGGGTCTTACTGTATTAATTTTTCTATGCAATTTTTTAAAGCAGGCTAAACAAAGTACCGGTTTGCCCTTACAATTATCGCAATATGTTGTTACTTTCTTTGCTCTATTCGTGGCGTATTGAGTATCTTTTAAGCTTTTATAGCATTCTTTGCATCGCTTTCACATTTTCAGTTACACCAAGAAGGCGCGCAGTAAAGAGGGAGGGAACCTTACCCTGTTCTCGCCCCCCTTGAGATTTTGCATTTATTGTAAATCGTTCAGAGCTACAAGACTCTTCATTACAGACATCGTTATATAATTGTTAATCCTTTTGATGATATCGTGTTAGTTTTGAGTTTATCAAGTAATATTCATCGGCATGTTTAATGAACAATGTGCATGAAAAATTTCAAAGTAACCTTCGTGAAATTTTGTAAAAGGCTTTGCAGTTTATTAATGCAATAACCTCGGCTAAAACGAAGTATTTGAAAATTTCAAATTTTTAGAGATTAACGAAACATAAAGGAAGAAAATATAATAATCTAATATATAATCGGTTCGTGAAATCGGAAGAAAATATATAATCGGTTCGTGTCAGTAAATAAGTGATTACAATAATTTAATAACCTTTTAAAAAATCAGAAACGTGCTTCTAAAAAAAAAACTGTGTACGTGCTTTATGCATACTTTTCTTTTTCTTTTTTTTTTTTTTAAGATTACAAATAACGAGCACATATTTCCATAATAGCTGAACGTGAATTATTTTTTAAAAATTAAGAATAATTCTCTTCTGAATTTTAGTTTTTTTTCGCCCAAAATTTGTTACATGTGCGATAAATTTCGCAGAAGGAAGAAAGTATACGTCGGATGTAAACAATGAATATAAATATCAAAAATATAAAGAATCCATAAAATAAATCAATAGTTCGGGATTTTAAACTGCGTAAGTGTACATTTATTTCAATGATTAATTTCGTTACTGCAAATGAATGATTTCAGATGTTTTCATTATTGGCTGTAATATAAAGATCCTTATTTTCTACCATTTATTAAAGTTAGTGGAGAAGCACGTAAAATTTAAATAACTGCACTATTTAAAATATATCTTATTTACGATTATTTCACTGAGCCATTTTTATTGCATCATTTTTTTAGCAGTAATCTAATACCGGAAAGATGTTATTAATTAAACTTAAAGCTAGAAACCTTAAAATTCCATCAGAGATTATAAATTTAATGCTTGATTATGTGACCAAGACATATTGAATTAAAAATCATATCTCATGCTGTAATTATTGCATTTATTATAAAGTACTCTTTCTCTGAAATACATTGCATAGATTATGATCATTATAAATTAGAGAAACAAAGGACACATCAGTTTTCAGAGTCGCAAAAAACAGCAGCGAGTTAATTGCAAAAATCACATATTGTGCTAGTACTACTTTTTTGAGTTGTTGCAATGTCCTGGCAACCATGTGTGCTTTATGAATCGATTCGCTAATTCTGTTGCAAGCATCTTCTTAAATGAAAGTGTAATGCACACAGGAAATTCATTTCATTCATTGACTGATTTTTCTCTTATGATATTGAAAGTTTGTGTCGGTCTTCATACTGAATATTACTTTTTGCCAAATGTATAGAAGGGTGAAATCTTGAATACGGTGTTAACGTAAAAAATAAAAAGCTGTGAAAATTTTATGATAGTATTCAGAATAATTATATATTAGCACAACCAACTGGGCACAGTTTGGCAGTCTTTAACAGTAGGAAAAGAGTGATGACTTACAATTGCAAAAAATTATTTAAAACATGCATATATGCTATTCAATATAATATTTTTTACGCTTTTCTTCGATATTTATCCTGAAAACCAATGCGCCTAGTTCCTACCGAGTTTTAGTCCACTAGTAGCCGAACGATAAAGTCGCTGAACACAGGTAGTTCGGCCCGGGGTTCGAAGCGAATGGGCTGGCTTTCGGGGTTTTTCGCATGTGTAACGTGTATGCGAGACAGTTTTTCCTTAGAAATTCCTCCATGAAGGCATCCCTTCCCTTATGCAGATAGCTCTCGTGTGCTTTGCCGTAATTAAATTAGCCAAACCAAACCAAACCTAGTGAGTTTTTGCGTCTTTGTTCTGGTGGAAATTTTATGACATCATGCTACGGATTTAAAGCACCTGTCTTAATTTATTTAGCGTACATTACTATATTTTTGTATAAATTTTATGACAGTGTCTTCCATTGCAGGCAAATCCCACATACGCCTATTACAAAATTCAGTTTACGAAAAATAAAATCCCGATTTGTCTATAAAACTTCTTCGAACATGAAACGCAATAAATGGAACGCATATGAAAATGGCAAAGTTGCTTGTTAAAACCGAAGAATTTCATGCGCATGGTTACCAGAATTTCTCATTCTGAAAATCTGACGACTTGCGACTAAAATGGTTGCGATAGTACGTAAGTACCGTATTCAGACTTCTCTTGCATCTGACAAAATTGTACTGACTTGGGGCTTGGGTAAATGGGTATTGACAGAAATTGAATCCGAATCCGAAGTGTTTCTTAGTAAATGGGGTCGCTGAATAATTTGTATCTCTAAGAATATACTTGTGAATTTGGCTATTTTTACTGTAATCAGTCGATGTGCTTCTCTATGTATGTCCCAAAACTCACAATTTCTAAAAAAATTCACTCCTGATCAATAAAATACGCTTTCGATTTAATCATGATTTTTCTTAATTTACGTTGTAGCTAAGCTTTTTATTTCTAACTTACTATAAAAATTCGAAACAGAACTTTTACATAGAGTATCATATAATGTGAGCAACCAGATAAACAGTAAAACACATATACAGGATAGAGCGATTTCCAGTAATTGTCTTTCGCTTTGTCGGCGTGTATATATATATATATATATATATATCCTTTAATCTACGTTTAATGCACTATCAGTCAGATACAGATACATATACATATACATACACATCCACGCCGCCAATCATATTTGCTAAAGGAATGGCTCTTTTCAGTGCAGGGGAGGATAAGCAGTTACAGAGCATGGGAATTGACGGGAAATGACAAAGTATGCTGTTTTGCACGAAATCACGGGGATGCTTCTGAAAGAATAATTCCTCTTAATTCCGGTCGATTACTCAGTATTTACTGGGAAGGGTACACACTCCCTCTCCAAAACAAGGGATCCCTTTGTTATAAATTACTGTCGAAGGGCTAGATAATGTTAATACAGAGATAGAGTTGATGTGGTCATAGTTTTATAAGTTGCAGTTTAGAAATGAAATAATTAAAATGATGAATCACCGTTGTTGTTTATATAGGAACTGTATCTAGAACACATTAAAACTAAAATCAGAATTACAGTTCTGTTTAATACAATTTAGCTTAGTCGTTCGCTTATTTAATCTTGAAATAAATAACACTAGATTTAATTGATGTAACAAATGTAAGCTTTAAATTGCAAAAGTTACCTTCTCTTGATATAACCGAGAATATCTTATATAACCGAACATATGCACACTTTTCGCAACTTAGAAATATATACGTTTGATTTAAACAGAACGTCAAATAATATTCACTTCTAGCAATACACACACATAGATTAATTCTATGCATTAAAAATGCCACAGTTATAATCATTTTTATCCTGATTTAAGTAGGAATTCTTTTATCATAGTAAGACTCTTTTAGTATAAAAGGCTATTAGCCACGAAATGCTGCAGTTATAAAATCGTCTTACTGTTGATTTCAGCGGAAATTCAAGACGCTTTTAGTACAAGTTTAGTCATGTACCAAGCCTTTTAAAATAGTTCATAAGTAACGTAAACGCACAGATGTGCGATAAAATATGTAATTAGCGAGATATACATACTAACACTTGTCAATTTTTATGAAGTATTTGATTTTAAATAAAATTAATATTTTCGTGGATGCAATTTTCACTCTCAAGATTTTATTTTATTTTTAAAACTGGTTATTGATTTTGAAATTATACTGTGTTTTAGAAAAATATCTATCCATTTTATTGGGGAAAATATTTATTAATGTAAATAACAATTCAGAAAAATGGAATACGTAGATATTTAATAATTTGAGTACATATCAATATACATTCTCCCAGTTCTACGCAAAATTCCCGCCACTTAGCGGACGAGCATTAACGCCACTGTACACTGATAGCTCGATATGGGTTCAAATCCTAGCGAGTGGTCTGGTAATTTTATTCATAACATTTGAATTGGGAATTTCATTTGATTAATACATAGGTTCAATTGGTTAATACTTTATGTTCCAGTGAAATCCAGACGGAGAAATTAAAAATTTTTAGCTTTGATGAACATAGAGTCCATATTCTTTTTAAATCTCTTTCAATCCAATGATCAAAAGATGCAGCACCAAAATAACTATGCACGATATTAACAAAATGCGATATACTTTCATAGTTTACTTGAGGCACTCCTTCAATCTTTTAAACAGTCTGTGCTCGTGTTGATGGCCATCTTGATGATCAACCAGCACACATCCGGTTTTTTTAAATCTGTTGACCAATTACCTAGCATTCGCTTTTGTTGAACATTTTCGTTGAATTTCTGCTAAAACACATTTTGATCAACATAGCTTAAACCTCTGATTTTTGTTTTAAAAAAGAGCAGTTCTTTGGTTAGTCTTCAGCGTGATTTGTTTTAGGCGCAAGAAAAACAATTCAACATTTTCAATAAAATGGATCTAGACTTTTCAGACAGTTTCTCTCTTATATATATGGTTTTATATGTACATAAATTTTTTATTTAGGAAACAATATTTCTTTAATTTGATATCCCTTTCTTCTTTTCTTACAGATGCATTCGGTTTTATATATTTGGCAACTTCTCCATTGACTGAGCTTTCCAGCTAAACTAGAGATTATCATAGACGAGGAACTGGCATAAGATGTATCCAGCACAGTTTTCCAGCATAAAATAGCTCTAATGGCTACCACTGCTTTCATGACAGAATTTCGCTCTTGTATGACTTTTGAGTGTAAAACTTCTATATCATCTTCAGTTGAATTTTCAAAAGTAAATAACTACGAAGAAGCTGAGGCCAGAATGACTCCCCAAATCACACACGAAGAAATGGAGCAGAAGAGTTCCGACAGAGTTCCTGATTCCGAGCAATCCAGAGAGAATCGCGAATCTCCACTCTCAAGTCCCGGAACTTCGATGGCATCCTCATCCCCTGCACTACACAGAGAAGTCCTAAATGGAAGATTGAACCAAAGTTATGAATTACGAGAGCCTCGTATGATGGATTCTTCTTCCGATGAAAGTGAGTTGATGCCGAATGATCTATCTGGATTCCATGAAGATCTTGAAGAACCCCAGAATCCTTTAGAACAATTACAATGTTCATTAGAAAAGACAGGACCGCTAGGGAGAAAAATTAGTTCTAGTTACTCTCCAGCAAAAAATAGCAGCCCTCCTGGTTTGAATGGAACAATGATTTCTGCAACAGAAGAATCTTGCGTATTCTATGAAGGAAATGATCTTTATAAATGTCATCTCTGCAGTTATTCAGGGAATTCAAAACAGAGTTTCAATGTTCATATGAATCTGCATTTTGATCAGAAATGCCCTTTCTGTGATTACACTTCCCGAACTGAAGGCCGATTGAAACGCCACATTAAAGACTTTCATTCAGAGACCCCGCCAGACAGTTGGGCAGGTACACGAGTTCCTCGAACAGATGGCAGTGGTGGTGAACAATCCATGGACGATAGTGTTAGTTCTTCGGGAAACGGAAAGCCTCGAACATTCCGATGTAAACAGTGCGATTTTGTAGCATATCAAAAGCAGGATTTTTGGGAGCACAGTAAAAATCATATCAAGCTCGAGAAGTTGCTAACCTGCCCACAATGTCCTTTTGTAACGGAATACAAACATCACCTGGAATATCACCTTAGGAATCATTACGGGTCCAAACCATTCAAATGTGCCAAGTGTAATTACAGTTGCGTTAATAAATCGATGCTAAACAGTCACATGAAATCTCACTCAAATATCTATCAGTACCGATGTGCTAATTGCACGTATGCTACGAAGTACTGCCACAGTTTGAAACTACATCTAAGAAAATATTCACACAAACCAGCAACTGTATTGAACACAGATGGCACTCCAAATCCTTATCCTGTGATTGATGTTTATGGAACTCGGAGAGGTCCTAAAACAAAGAAAAAAAAGCACTCGGAAGATTCTGAAAATCATCCAATTCCTACTTCAGCTATAGTTCCTAGTCCTCAACCCGTGAATTATCCAGGAGTTGTTTCATTGCTTCCAAATTTAATGTATACAAGTCCCATTTTTAATAGTTACCATAACAGTATGTTCATAAGGCCACCTGTATCAATAGATAGTTCAAATAATACATCTCATATGCCTTCTTTTGGAGTAAAACATGCTAATTCTTCATATAACGCAATAACCCATGGCATGTCTTCCTTCAGCAAACAGCGCGGCAATACTTATAAATGCCTTTTATGCGATTTTACAACAGATGAGCAGGAAATACAACAAAGGCATATAGCGTGGCATGCTGCTAATGATAATCAAGACCTAATTAAACTTTATGGCATCAATTCAGAATCCATACTTCCTTTACCGAATCATTCCAAAGTACTGAATTGCTACCCACAAAATCAGCAACATTTTTCTTCAGATGGTACAAGAAGAGACAGAGATAACTCTTTCAAGTCATATGATACATCAACAGTAAACGAAACATCTGGCGGTGTGATAAATAACCACGAATTTGTTAATAGTAGAAGCGAAGATGAAAACGAAATAAGCACCATACGTAGCGATAATAACCAAGTTCCAAAGGTTGACAAAGAAGACAAGATTCCAAACTGTAAAACACATGCAATAAACCAAGAGAAAGAATCTGACGAAAAGGAAAGAGGAGTTATTGTGGAACACAAATCCGAAAAATCATATTCTTCCCGGCAGCAGCATTCAGAAACATCAGAGAGGCAAAGTGAAGAGATTGAATGCAGAGTTAATAACATTTTTGATGCTCAAAATCCTCTTGATCTGAGCAATACAAAGTTGTTAGATACAAGGAATGAAAGCACGAGTAATACCCAAAATCAAAATTTTGAAAGGAAGACCTCAACGACGGCTATAGCTAATATGTCTTCCAACTGCCATACAAGAAACAGAAGAAAAGGCAAGGCATTTAAAATCGATCATTACATCCAGTATGATGAAATGCAACCTGCCGAAACTAATATTTCTAAAGCTCTGGGGAAAATTCCATTCTCTCAGACAGATACAGAATACAACTTATTTGTGCCAAACGAAAAGTCAGCAAAGTTCCTATCACCTGAATTAGTACAAAGCTCATCTCCAGTGCAAGCGAAAGCCACAATACGTGCTACAAATACAAATGCAGAAAATGGAAATCGTGATCAAGATATTCATCATAACATGCGTGCTGAGTATCCTACTCAGAATAGCTCAGTTCCTGTACCAAAAAAAGTTAGCATGCAGAACTCCAGGGAGAGGAAGCTATCAAGTGAAAATGACAGTTTAACAGACATTTCTTCTCTTGTGCCGAAAGTTGAGTTGCATGTTGAAGATGATACAAGTAGGGGTGCATTAAAATGGCCGCAAGTTTACAGATGCTCACACTGTGACATGACATTCGGAGACTGCATCATGCATTCAATGCACATGGGCTATCATGGTTATGGGGATCCATTCACATGCAATATGTGCGGACAAAAGAATAAAAATAAAGTAGATTTTTTTCTTCATATTGCACGTGCCGCTCACTTGCAATAAAATGAATGAACAGAAATGGAAATTATCAGTAACTGAAAATGCTTCAACTATTTGCATTTCAAATCTCAGTCTGTGAGAGTATTAAGTTCCTCAACGGATTTCATGTTCCTTTCTACCATTATTTATTCAGAAACATATCTGTGTTGTGATAGACTGTTGTAACTTGAAAGAAATATTAAAAGAATATTTTTGAAGCATCAATCAAGTCCAGAAATGTTAGATGTTTTTGAAAACTAAGAAGTTCGTTTTTTCTTTACTATGAAGTGACGAATATTCATCTGCTTTCATCATCATACATTTGAATATGACTGACTCTTCTTTTCTGAAACTGCAAACAAAGCGACAGTTCCAAAAACTGCTATTTTAAAAAAAAAAAGTCTTTTTCTATTTCATTTGCAGTCTGTAGAAAGGTGAACATTGGTTATTATGAAACCTATGGAACTGTTAAGTTACAAATGTATTTTTCAAGGAATAATTTTGAAATGATAGCGTTGTAGTTTGGAACATTATGAAAAGAAGAAAAAAATTGTTTGCTTCATGGGTTGTTAAAAATTAACACTTTGCTACTATATGTAGAGTAGCATGTCATAAGAACTCATGATATTGTTGAAAAAATCAAAAGTTCATATTGTCTACAAAAAATTACCGCTAGTCACTCCCGTTATAACATTTTGGTGAATTAATTGCAATATTCTTTATACATAATGCGCTACGGCATTCTGAAAATCAAAATTTCAAACTATATTGTTATGTCTCATGTTATATCTAAACTGTTGTATATTGATTTGTGTGATATATTTTTTAACAAACTGTTTTATAGCGAAAAAATGCGTTTTGGTGGCATTGTGAAAGATAACTCGAGGCATTAAGTTCCTGTAATACCATACGTTCAATAAGTGCTCCTGCTCGTTTTCTGCGTTTTCGAATTAAAAGCAAAGCAATCTTTCCTATTCGTTAGTTTAATTTTTAAATAACTTTATATATATATATATATATATATATCCTCACTAAAATTAAAAACCGAAGCACAGCTGTAAATGCCACTTACACTGATTTAAATGGAAACATTCTATTAGAAAATCTACCAGCGCATACGTTATCTATTACAAAGCTGAGAAACAACTGAAACATAAAAAAAGTACGTGCATATCCATAAATATTTTTAAAGGAAAAAAAAGGGCACTCTTCTGGAATAAATATCAGGATAACAAAATACTTTTTTTCATTTGCAGTGCAATCTGTGATATAAACAATACTTATAATTACTCAACGAATTCAGATTTTTTTTTTTTTTTTCCAAATCCTTGCACTTAATGTACATATCTGTTTCGTTCTGCAAGACTAAGTTGTCTTCATACCGAATTTTAAGAACACGTGTGTCTTAATGCAACTGTGCTCCGCAGAATTCAATAGAAAGACTGGGACAGAGCGCTAGAGTATACGCTAGTCTATTATTTCAGTCTTATTTTATAAAAGTAGAAGGCAACAAAATATGTATTTCTGATCAGGTTTCAGAAGCTTCATAGTCCTTTCTATAAAATATAAAACAATATGCATCTTTATTTCAATCATCAGTGTAAACTCTTTTACGAATAATAAGCACTTCAAAAAAATATTTCTTACAAAAATAACTACTTTTTTCTTTGACACATCGTGCAAATTTACCAGTTAAAAAAAATTTAACACGAAAATATACTAATAACGTCAGTTTTAAAATGCGAAGTTTAATAATTTTAAATGAAATTGCTCAAATTCGCTACAATATTTTCAGTTGTTTACCATTATGAACTTATAAAAGTGACAACCCTTTCACAAAGAGCACATAATGAGTTTTTTTTAATTAATAGAAAGTACTGTGTTATTAATCTTTAATATGTGTTTTGAAGTGTGATGTTTTGTTTGGTTTTGAAAGATGAAATCTCGTTACCATTTAAGTGTAACTGTATTGAAAGTTCCTAATATATTTATTTACTGAAATTATGAATGTAAATTTTGTGTTTGTTCTCAGAGCTTTGATCTGTGTTTTGTGCCAATTTTAGAATAAGATACGTAACAAGCGTGTTTTATTACGTATTAAAAAGAAGTTTTGGATCTCTGTTAAAAATATAATTGATGCATACGGGTTTTGTAAATATTCGGTCATCATTTCTCTTCAATTACTATATATTCTACTTATCACATGAATAATTAAAATGTCACATGGAGTTATAGCATAGCTTTTACCATGCAGAGTTCAACAAAGAACAACGAATAAACAAACGCTGTTCTTTTTGTAACTGTTTTAAAGGATTAGCTTTTTTCTAAAAAGTACATTTAAATTATAGTTCGATCACCACATCCGCGACCATGAGCGCTAACACGCATCCGGCATTCGGACAGAATTATTCTCAAAATAGGGTGGAAGGATGGGGACTTTCTTTCGCTCGAGCATATAAATTCTCTCTTTCTGGAGAATAGAAGACTTTCACCTGACCTTTCACGTCGCAGCAAGTAATAGTGACCCTTTTGGATGAGTCTATGTGTTTTGGCAGAATGCCAGCCAAGGTTGCGTTTGAGACGGTCTAACTATATCTTTTATAAATTAATTGTTTCAGATGTTATCTGATGAGTACTATTGTCTAACCATACAAGCAAAATTAAAATAAGCGTTAATTAAATTGGCATTCTGTTTACCTTTAATAGTTTATATCAGTACTGCAATAGTACATACAACAGTTATAGAACTTATAACTATTTTAAGTACTATTATTATTACTTATAACTATTTTAAGTACAGTAAGTTATAAGTGTTACTTAAAATGTAGATAAGTTTCCTTCAATAAACGAAGACACTTAAATGAAATTTTTTATTAGGCATAGAATGCAAGTTAATATTTACAACACTGTGTCAATTCATTTAAAAAAATCAAAGTTGAAAAGGGGAAAAGAACTATAAAGATAATTAATTCTTACGTAAAGTCACACCAGTTCGTAATACTCCTCGGCCAATAAAAAAAAAAAAAAATTAGCGGTGGCAACCACAGTACTAGGTGAAAAGTACAGAAATTGCCAATACAGTTCTTTTAAAATAAAAAATTAGAGATTTTCCCTTATTTTCGAAACAATTTAGAAGTTGATGTTCTTCGTTAAAATTCTTAGTTTAAAACTTTCAATGTATTTCTAAACACAACTGCATTAAACTCATTTTACGGTTGCTTGAACAATGCAGGATATCCCGTGTGTTCAGAAATACGAGATTTCTTTACCAGTTTCTAAACGCTATTTATTTGCCGACAAACAGCTAATCCTAGATTAACATCCTGAAAGGAAATCATTCCACAATGACGACTCCTGTTCTTAATCACTTTACGAAATTACCGCTCTCACAATAAATGTTAAAAACCTACGTAATTATGTGCCATGATTTTTATATTTCTGATATCCATGGGATTCTCAGGGAGCTGTATAATGAAATGTCCCGAAAGGAAATCAGAATCTTACATCTTAAAATATGTTCAGCAGTATTGTTATTTTTTAATAACGGAAAAAAAATACTTATTAAAATCAGAAAATAATAGTTAAGGAATTTTAAACATGCTACTATTCGATTTAGAATTGCGAGTCTAATGTATATATAACTAAAGAGGAAATTTAAACCAGTACCCTCAAGTAGCTGTCACAGAATAATTTTAAAAAGTTTTAATTGTTAAATGATTCTGTGATTTAATATTTTTTCATCTCCATAATAGACTTTATCTTACGAAAATTAGATAATTAGAATTTTAACCGATACAAGTAATATTTTTATATATTACTTACGCACTGTAAAAATGTGTCAATTAAATACAAGAAAATTTATTAAATCAAGTAAAAACTTCTAGTGCTGCCATCTAGTAGCTACTGAAATTACCAAAGTAACAATGGTAATATTTATTTCGGTTAAATGCCGCGAAAACTTAGCTCATCATGATTTTAGTTATATATGCCAAATTTTTTCATTAAATTATTCCTTAACAAGCAAAAATACTGCTGAATATTCTAAGAACTTTTATTTTAAGACATGGTATTTAATTCTCAAGCATGCTGTTATCTCATTAAACTTTTATGTTATGTCATGAAAACGTAAATGTATATGTCATAAGATATGTTTGTTTTATGTAAAAGTATGCATAAAAATTTTTTGTGCATAATGTATAATAAAAATATTTGTCTGGATGAAAACTGATATCATTATTTCAGCATTTAAAGTTTAATATTTCAAAAAATCATTAGACATATTCAAGTTTTCCAGAAATTTCACTTGCATTTTAAATTTTTTAATGAATACACAGCATAGTTAATATGCCAGTTAAATAAAGTGGGGAAAAGTTGTGTGTTTATGAACGTTTGAAGGGAGTTGGACTCCAATTTCATAAATATAATAAATTTTTGTGCATGTTCGTATTGTTGTTTTGTGCATGTTCGTATGTATGCGTAATTATGCATACCGAATTCTAGTTTACACTAAAACAGGGAAGAAGGGAGTAATTGCTATTGAAATTGGAAAGATTTCTTATTATTCTTTACTTCTTAGTGGTAATTTATTTTTTGCCCGGAAAGTTTCTTTTACTTCAAAACGTTTTTCAAAGTTCCATATTCCTTTGTATTAATTTATACAGAGAACTAATTTTATAAAAATGCACTAAATTATGATCGAAAATGTAATAATCGGTGTGCTAAAACCCAAATAAGAAATAATTTACCTTTTCGATCTTTTGTTTGGAAATAACTGTAGAAATATGAAAACATTTTCAGAATATAAGAAGCTTAACTAGTTTGCTGGGTTGAATGGCAAAGAAAGATTTTTCATTTTTCCTTGTTGGTTGTTTTGCTGATCTTTGTCTATTATTGAGTGTTTAATAAAAGGATGGATTTAGCAAGCTAAAAATGAAGTACCAGTAACTTGTTCAAAACAACAGTTTCTTGAAAAACCTCTATCCTATTAGAGCAAGTTTTGAGCTTCCCACATTTCGTTCCTATAAGTTTTTTTTTTTTTTTTACTCTTTTTTTCCTTCCTTAACATTTTGCTAAATAAATTTAACATTAATTCAAACCAGAAATTGACTCTGTAAAGCTAAAGATTGAGTTGATGTCTCTACTTTTTCCCTGAGCTTGAATATAATATATATATGTACTAGCACCATATACGACCACTAATAATATTCTTGACATTAACGACAGAAATTTTCATATCAATTTCACTTATCGCTTACTAGTGGCCGATGGACGTTGATAGTTAGAATCCCGGCGAACGGACTGACTACATAGGAGTTTTCGTGGTTTCTCCATGCCTAATATGAAGGTTTGATGTCTTTTCTACTGGTGGAAAATTAACTGTAATCCCTCCCCCCCCCCGAGGAAAGGGAACGAAGCAAGTTGTAAGTAAATGAAAGCTTCTCATTTAGCCAACACCTCGCAATTTGGCCCAACTTATTCGGACGTTAAACTTTTTCTTAAATCCGATATCTTCAGCCAGCTTACATTTGACGACCATTTGCCAAATTTAGCATATTAATTAATATCACTAATTTCTACAGAACGGACTACTTCCGTTTTCTCTTCTATAAACACAACTCTAAAAGTACTTATTAACAGAGCACAGAAACAGTCACAAAGAAAATATACATCAAAACAGTACATATACCCAAATGGAACACCTAACATATCGAATTACGGAGACGATATTCGAGAACAAATCCCGATCGCAGTTGGAGATAACTGCCGTAAGTTGTTCTCGTTGCCACTAGATGGCGTTCGATAAAATAGTTCTGCTACGTCGTGGGATAATTTGGAAGATTGATTTGAACTCACTTTTAAGGGAAAAGAAAAAATATACAAAATGTTAATGCACCAATAAAAAAAAGTTGCTTATTTAATTATGAAAAACATTCCAGTAAAATGAGAAAGCCACTCAAAAGACTGAGTAATAAAGTTAATACAAAGTATGTTTCTAAGGGATAAGATTGACTTATCTTTCAACACATTCATTCATACAGCAATGTTTCTACAATTGTATTTCATGCATTAGCAAGAGCACCATTGAAATTACAACAGATTAGCAAGAGCAGTGTTTCCACAATTGTATTTCAGTTTATTAAAATTTCCATCATTTCGGAAAATGCGAGGGTTTCTGAATTAGGTGACTGCATAGTCGATGAGAGGCAGATTCGCTTAAAAGGTCCTCCATTAAGGCATCTTCTTTTCAGGCAGATAGTACTTTACCATAAGGTATTAAACAAGCAATCTGAAAATGCAAAGCACTGATAAGTTTTGATCATAATTTGTTAAGGTGTGGTCGGAAATTTTATAATTCATCGAAAACATCTTCGCACTAGGACGCTTGTTTATACAGATCACTAACTTAATTTTTTAGTAATGTCATTATACGTGTAATAATTTCAAAATGCAAACAGTAATAAACGAAAGGCGAAAAATTTTGTTTCAGGATTTAACAGAAATTATTTTTATTATAGATATTAGCTATCGAGACAATATAAGAGACATAAACGTTAGTTGGGAATACACTCTACCAATATGTTTTACTGAATGACATGGATACAGTTACAGGTTGCAGTGGGGGAAATGGACTGTATCTGATTATCGAGTTCAATGTGAGTTCAATGTTATTAGTTCAATGTGAGAAATTACGATAGATTTTTTACGCAAAACTGCTTTAACCAATTAACTGTGGCGTTTTCCTTTAAGAATGCGCACTTTGTATCGCCAGAATCGAGCCATGACGAGTATATTTGTTAATCACAGAGTTAAGTTGCGCTGGTAAGATATTGGATGAAAAAAAATGGGTTTATTTTATAAAATTGAAAATTTTATTACGAATATTTACTTATTTGGTTAACATAAGCATATATTACATACATATTAAACTAAAAACACAATAAATTAAATATTATACATATTAAAGTCAGAATTTAAATTCCTGCTGTGGAGTGATATTCAGCTAAACAGGGTACTAAACACGATGGGACTTTGCAAATCGAACACCAGCAACGCGATTCACTCCTGATCTTACGTTTGTAGCAATGCGAACACCTTCGCGTAGGGTTGTTTTTTTTCCGATGTTCCAGGTATATAATCCGAAACATGATTCCCGCCTAATTGGCTTATATTAGGTCTAAATCGCCGAGTCTGTGTCGATTTATTTCTTTTAATTGGATACGTCGCAAAAGTGCCTTCAATAAATTTGAGCAAAAAGGTTCCATTATTTTTTTTTATATAATATGAATGCATTCAGACACATAATGTCTAAGAAATGGAGAAATATCTTTTTGTAGTACTTTTTGAGTCGTTTTCTTGCTGTGGAGTACGCTACGATAATTCCATCGTTCATATCCACTCCACCCATTTTTTTTTATTATAATCAATCATTAGCTCCGGTTTCTTTGTTATTATTTTTCTTTTCTCTGTTTCTATTACGTTGCTTACACTGCTTTATACGCATGACGAGTATACTCGTCAATACACAAAATCGTGCCTCTTCTCCATGACGAGTATACTCGTCAATCACAGTTAACTGGTTAAGGTGATGGCATTTTAAGCATATTTTCAGTAACTAATTTGAAATTTCTAATCACCGTGCATTGTCCATCTCCCATTGTTTCTATTTTTTTCTTTAAATTGTTTACAGATTGAGAGTAGAGAAAAAGTTTTCAAAATATAACAAGATTCTTTACTTGAGTTAAAAGCTATTTTTGTTAATCTAATGATTATAACATTATTCGAATTCCATTATTTTAAAAATCATTTGGCAATTATAAACAGATAAAAACGGGAATTCATAAGAAATATTTGATTTTATAGCTGAATAAAATATTTTCATAGCAGAAAAGTTTAAAATTTAAAAAGCATAGAAACATACTTCGCTCGTTGTAGAATAACAGGAATAAGAATTTTTTTCTTTTATAAGCAGCAACATTAATTTATAATTATGAAATCCTTATCAATTTATTTGGGATGTTTCTAATCATAAACTCTTTTTAGTCCTGTAGGATTTATATTTATTTTAACTAACATTTATTTTAAGTTTAAACTACCTTTCCTGTCAAGCCTTACTTTTCCCCTGGAACTGCCAATGCCAGAGTATGTAAATTTTAGTAGAACGCGCAAGGATTCAAATTATCAGCGGAAGTATTCTGAGTTAAATAGAAAGGAAACGAGTTCAAGGTGTGCTGTTCTTACTTCACGAGCGCGGAGGTAGTTAGCCAGATATTGAAGAACCCCGCGTTTCGGCCTGTGTGCTTGCCTGGAAGTATTGTTAATCGTTCAACGTGACCTTCAAGTTTGCTGAATTAGCAGCGGTATTGTAAAACGCGGTGAGATTAGTTACTTTTAGAGAGCCTCGTAGTTAGAGTCTTGTCTTTAGTTTCTTTTCAGGTTATTATTTTTATTTGACCGCTGAGTTGGCGCAGTTTGTGAGCGTCAAGAGCACGCACTTGTAATTTATTACGTTGAATAAAAAGGGACTTAAACCCTTAACAAGACTCTGTCTTTTATCCAGTTTTCACAGTCACCTCTTGGTTGCGTGCAGGTTGGAGGCGCGCAACGGTACATTGGTGCCCGAACACTTGTCGAACTGAAATGGCCGAAAATCGGATGGAAGCCGCTGGACAACACCAAGAAATGACAAGCCAATTGGAAGGATTTGGATACCTGGTCCAGACTTTGAGAGCGTCAATCAAGCCAAACGTCCATTTCGACGGAAAAAATTCGGTGGCGGTATTTCTAGAAGGTCTAGAAAACCACTTTCAGCTCTACCCTGTTCCTGAAAGACAAAAAGTTGCCATCGCCACATCCACACTAAGAGGACAGGCCGCGCTATGGTGGAAAAATATAGGCAAATTTTTATTAGGGGAATTTGGAAGCCAGACATATACATTTGAAAATTTCAAAAAATCGTTAGTAAAGGCCTTCCCCATAGTTAGTAAGCATCCTTCGTTAGTAAAGCCCACCTAGTGAAAGATCAAGCAAGGCTGGAAGCCGAACTATATAGTTCTATCAGAATATAGAAGAAGTGACGGACTTTATTCTACGAAAAATTAAGCTGACGGATATGCTGTATAGGAAGAAACCCGATGCGGAGATTATTGAAATAATCTTACCAAGATTGTTACCCGCTGTTCAAGACTACTTCGAAATTAGAAACCCAAGCACAT